AAGTGTGGGGAGCAGGGTCACAGGAGGTCCGAATGCAAGGCTCGCTTCGTCCCGCATCCTTCGCAGACCGGACAACCTGAGACCACCGAGGGAGATAGTGGTGAGCAGTCTGTTGGTGCACGCCTATATGATCGTATTACTCGCACTCAAAACTCGATCGCTGCACTGTCAGAGGATGCTGATCGTAAGCTTGATGCTGCTGTTATGCATGCGTATTTTGCTCGCTCACACAAGGTGTTCATAGTGTCAGCGTGTGAATGGTTGACAAACATGATGTATGATGTTTCTGGCCTGAAGTGTCTGCTGACGTCGCGAGATGATCTGGTTATGAGTGCTGTCAGCAATGATATGATCCTGAACGCTGTCAACAAGTCTAGATATGTCGAGGATTGGTATGCTGATACTGGTACTGCTTTCCACATGACGGACTCTCTCGCCTGCATGAAGGACTTGAAGCCATGCCACAAGAGTGTGAATGGAATTGGTGGCGTGTCGTGTGAAATATCTTTCTCTGGAACGCTGGAGTTGGTGTTTGTGACTGCTGACAGTGAATTTTCCATGGAGTTGAAGAATGTACTGTACTCTCCCAACTTGGGGTATAATCTCTTTTCTCCAAGTGCAGAGTTTGATGGCGAATCATGGAATGGTCTTGGTGGTCCTGACGGTGTGATGACTGCTTTTAAAGGACAAGTAACCTTCCAAAACTTCGATGGCATGCTGATTGCGTCTGCATATCGTCTAGGAGAAGCTTCTGTTGGCACTGTGCTTGCAGCCCTCACTCCATCAAACCCCAAGCATAAAACCACGATGGATGTGAACGAGTTCCACAACATTTACGCTCATTCGCACAAGGGCTTGCTTCGTACTACTGCAAAACGTCTAGGCACAGAGTTGGTCGGTGAGATGCATGAGTGTACGGGGTGTTCGATGGCTAAGGCTGTGAAGAAAGGAATCGCTCGAGAAACTAAAAGTAGATCCGACAAAAAGTTGGGCAGAGTTTTTGTTGACCTGGGAGGGAGGAAGGACGTTGCGTCCGTAGGGGGGAAGCATTACCCCATGATAGTGAAAGATGATTTCACGAGGCGTGCATGGATGTATTTCCTGAAACACAAATCAGACGCCGGGATGGCTTTTCGGAGTTTTCTTGCAAGTGTGCGTGCTGATGGTGTCCCATCGTTGGTTGAGATTGTTAGATCTGACAATGGAGGGGAGTTTTTCGGAGGGGAATTTGCATCTGTGTGCAACGAGCTTTTGATCAAACAAGAGTTCACACCGGCTTACAGTCCGCAATATAATGGTGTTGCAGAACGTGGATTGGGATTAATAGAAGAGGCCGCGATGGCGGCTCGTATTCAGGCTAAAGTTCTTTTTGGGCATGTGCAGTTACCTAAAACTGATAAACTCTGGGCTGAGGCAATGCACTGGGCTTGCGAAGCAATGAATCACACTGCGTGCTCTGCCAACCCCGACTCTAAATCACCGTATGAAATGTGGTATGGAGAACCTCGTCCCGCAAGACCATATCCGTTTTTGAAACCCGCGTATTGCAGGTGGCAGCGACCTTCAAAGCTGTTGCCGAAGGGTGAGAGTTGTTTTTATGTCGGTCCTTCGAGAGACCACCCGCGTGATTGCCATAGAGTACTTACAAGGGCTGGGACTATTCAAGAAACGAGGGATGTGACATGGGAGGTATTGCCGTCGCGGCTCCCTCCACTGCAACCGTCTTTGCCGATAGAGGTAGCAGAGGAGGGAGGGGAGGATAGTGACGACGATGTAGAAGACGAGGTATGGCCGCTTGTTGGAAGAGGAGTTGCCCACACACTTTTGAAACGTGAAGCCGTGCCCCCTGGTACTGAAGTTGTCGAGGTTGAGAGTGTTGAAGCAGGCAGTGCAGACCCGTCCCCTTCTGTCCCAAGTTCCCCCTCCGAACCGTCCTCACCTCTGTCTTCGCCTGTGCCTGAGATAGATGTGAATTCAAGGGAAATAGAGACGGGGGATCCGGGAGGGGATGATGAGGTAGAGTCGATGGGGCAGGGAGGGCAGGACGAGGAAGAGTTGAATGGGTCGGGAAGACCAGTAGAAACGGAGGCGTCCCCTCCGACCGGTCGTCGTCCGAGACACGTAGCTGAACTTGCCGATTTCAACACAGCTGCGCGTGAAAATGATGAAGTACGAGAAGGCAGGACTCGCGCGCAAACTCGTGCAGTTAATCAGCAGAGTGTTCCTGGCCTCATGGCCACCATAGGACCCATCTCCGGCACAGAGGTATTGTATGCACTTTTGTCGGAGCAGAGAGCAGGTGATGAGACGGAATTGCCAAAAGAACTGGTACAGGATGTTGAGTCAGAGCCTGGTAGCTATGAGGAAGCCCAGCGTTCGAAATATGCTAAGATTTGGGAGGGAGCCATTCCGCTGAAGTAGAAGGCTTGATGAGAGCAGGAACGTTCACATTGGCAGTAAAAGTCCCGATAGGCTGTAATGTGATCGATGCTAGATGGGTCTTCAAATGGAAAGCGGACGAAACAGGAAAGATAGTGAAGGCCAAGGCTAGGCTTGTAGCGAAGGGCTTCAAGCAGAAGTACGGTGTGGACTATCTTGAGACTTTCTCGCCTACTGCAAATGCTGCATCTTTTAGATTGGTAGTAGCGTTGGCGTGCAAGTACAACTTGGAATTACTCCACTGGGATATTGAGCAGGCGTTTGTTCAGTCGGAATTGGATCATGAGGTGTTCATGAAGATGCCTCCTGGCTGTGGTTCAATGTCGGAAAAAGTTGTCCGTTTGAACAAGAGTTTGTACGGATTGAAGCAGGCTTCTAGAACATTCTACAAGAGGCTAGTGTCGGAGCTGAAGAGGATTGGTTTCGAGCAGTCTATGTCTGACCCCTGTGTCCTGCGTTTCATGATGGGAGACGAGGTGGTGGGGATGGTCGCGATTCATGTGGATGACATTCTGTATGCAGGAACGAAGAGCCTGGCTGAGGTTGTAGTGGCAGCGCTTGGTGACTCTCTTCCGACGAAGAACTTGGGCGAGGTCAAGTTCTTTCTTGGTTGCGAATACATTCGCGACCGCAAGGCTGGTAAGTGCCCCCTGGTACTGAAGTTGTCGAGGTTGAGAGTGTTGAAGCAGGCAGTGCAGACCCGTCCCCTTCTGTCCCAAGTTCCCCCTCCGAACCGTCCTCACCCGCAAATCCCTCTGTGTCTTCGCCTGTGCCTGAGATAGATGTGAATTCAGGGGAAATAGAGACGGGAGATCCGGGAGGGGATGATGAGGTAGAGTCGATGGGGCAGGGAGGACAGGACGAGGAAGAGTTGAATGGGTCGGGAAGACCAGTAGAAACGGAGGCGTCCCCTCCGACCGGTCGTCGTCCGAGACACGTAGCTGAACTTGCCGATTTCAACACAGCTGCGCGTGAAAATGATGAAGTACGAGAAGGCAGGACTCGCGCGCAAACTCGTGCAGTTAATCAGCAGAGTGTTCCTGGCCTCATGGCCACCATAGGACCCATCTCCGGCACAGAGGTATTGTATGCACTTTTGTCGGAGCAGAGAGCAGGTGATGAGACGGAATCGCCAAAAGAAGTGGTACAGGATGTTGAGTCAGAGCCTGGTAGCTATGAGGAAGCCCAGCGTTCGAAATATGCCAAGATTTGGGAGTGAGCCAGGTCCGCTGAAGTAGAAGGCTTGATGAGTGCAGGAACGTTCACATTGGCAGTAAAAGTCCCGATAGGCTGTAATGTGATCGATGCTAGATGGGTCTTCAAATGGAAAGCGGACGAAACAGGAAAGATAGTGAAGGCCAAGGCTAGGCTTGTAGCGAAGGGCTTCAAGCAGAAGTACGGTGTGGACTATCTTGAGACTTTCTCGCCTACTGCAAATGCTGCATCTTTTAGATTGGTAGTAGCGTTGGCGTGCAAGTACAACTTGGAATTACTCCACTGGGATATTGAGCAGGCGTTTGTTCAGTCGGAATTGGATCATGAGGTGTTCATGAAGATGCCTCCTGGCTGTGGTTCAATGTCGGAAAAAGTTGTCTGTTTGAACAAGAGTTAATACGGATTGAAGCAGGCTTCTAGAACATTCTACAAGAGGCTAGTGTCGGAGCTGAAGAGGATTGGTTTCGAGCAGTCTATGTCTGACCCCTGTGTCCTGCGTTTCATGATGGGAGACGAGGTGGTGGGGATGGTCGCGATTCATGTGGATGACATTCTGTATGCAGGAACGAAGAGTCTGGCTGAGGTTGTAGTGGCAGCGCTTGGTGACTCTCTTCCGACGAAGAACTTGGGCGAGGTCAAGTTCTTTCTTGGTTGCGAATACATTCGCGACCGCAAGGCTGGTACGATCGAGATTTCTCAGGAGAGCTACATCAGGAGTGTCCTTGAGAGGTTCAACATTGTTCGCACTAGTTCAATCCCTGCTTCCCTTAACAACGATGACAGGTCCTTGATGGAGGAGGAGGGGGCAGGAGATGTGCCGTTCCGTGAGGTGGTTGGAAGCCTGATGTGGATCGCCAGCCAGACGCGAGCCGACATCTCTAACGCTGTGCGGGCTGTGGCGAGGCACTCTCACGAGCCAAAGAAGAGCCACTGGAAGGCGGCCCAGAAGATCCTCAATTATCTTCTGGAAACGGCACATCTGACTTTGAAGTTCAAGCGTGATAGTTCGGTAGACGTAGGCACGTTGGTGTACGTAGATGCGGACTTCGCGAGTAAGGCTACAGACCGTAGGTCAGTTTCAGGAGCAATGGTTTTTGTGGCTGCTATGCTTGTAGTTTGGATTTCTAGGACGCAGAAATGCGTTTCGCAGTCGACTTCTGAGGCAGAGTACCTTGCGATGGGTGATGGTGTGAAGGAGGCTCTGTTTGTAAATGGAATGCTTCAGTTCCTGCGGCCGAGTGTGAAGCCGCGTAAGATAGACGTCCTTGAGGACAACGAAGGAGCGATTGCGCTCGCAGAAAACCCGCTGAGCTCGAGTAGGAGTAAGCACATCGACGTGAGGCATCACTTCCTTAGGAATTTGACGGAGGAAGGTGTGATCGAGGTCACGCATGTCCCAAGTAAGGAGCAGCATGCGGACATCCTCACGAAGGCTCTACCGAGAGACCTTTTTGAAGTTCACCGTGACTTTGCATTGGGATCTAGGAAGTAGGAGTCTGAATTGTTTTGTTGTTTTGCTTTGATACTTGATGTACTTGGTCTGGTTGATACAACAGCCCCTAGGGAGGGTGTTCGTGGTAGAGGCAGTATGTATCGACTGAGTTGCGTAGAATATCTGATTGGACGATTTGAATACGCGGAACAATGTCGATCCTCTGTAGATTGTTGAGCTACCGACATAAGGAACGTTCGTGGTCCTTGTGGTTGGAATAATCTTGTGGACGCTGCGCTAGTCTGAGCATGGTATCTTAGTTCAGGTAATCATCCCGAGAGTTTGTGGAGTGTAGGAAGTCGCAATGGTCCGAGGACTGGTACTGAGATACTGTAGAACGTTGCTGGTGCTCCGGAACGGTTCCGGAACGTGTCCGTTGGTTCGTTGGTTTCCAGGAGTTCGCAGGGTATCGAGGACACGGCTTGCACATCGTGCTCACTCCACTTTCTGACCAGTCTCTCCTGACAAGGGTCTCTTTAATTCAACTACTTTTCCCCAGAAGCTACCGCTTTATCAACAGAGGTATTCGGTGTTCTGGAATCTACCAAACCCACCGCTAGCAGGGACTTGAAATGCCCGCACCGGTTCGCCTTCCGCAACCGGCCTTCTGCTGGTGATCTCTTCTGCACCCGTGTAGTCTATGCAGGCGCCCACCGCTACAGGCTGCTCTTGGGATGATGACCCCTTGACGTCCCGGCTGCCCGGTCCTATGCCCGCGTCCACTCCAGCAGGGATCCTTGGCACTACCAGGCTGGCTCCCGGTCTGGTGCGTCTTCCCCCGTGCTGTGCGGGCGGCGTGATTACGTCGTTCTGCGGCCCCTCTTTCAGCAGACCGCGGGCAGACGTAGCGCCCGTACCGGCAGCGCCCACCCCAGCGCTGCCGAACTCCCCCTCCTTTTTTAACTTTCCGAGGGCGGCGTGGAGAGGCCCTGCCAGCTGCTGTACCTCGTCCGTCAGACCTGGAACTTTGCTGTCCAGGTTGTCAACTCTGCCCCACGTACTAGTGGTGACGTCGGCAGTCTCTGCTGCAACATCGGCGCCACTCATCTCCAGCACGGGTTCCCTCGAGGGATACACTCACTCTAGTCTAGAGTGTTAGTATACCCATGTGTGTGTGTCGAAGATGATGGTATCACTTGTATTTTGGACAGCAGACACGATCAGGACGCGGCGGGAGAGAGAGAGAGTGCCGCGCCACAGCAAGCACTCCCACAGGTCCGAGCCCCGTGGATCAACCACGAAACCAACCAAGGGGACTATTAATTCCTATCTGCGTAGCCACTTCCTACAGTCCCGTTGGAATATTCTCATCCGCTCATGCACACACGGACAGTCGTTTGGCGTTTCGGTAGCTCCGGTTGTGCGGGGATCGCGCCTGAGGAGCAAGAATGTTCTATGGACGGCCACTGCACTAGCCTACCCCAAGCGTTCTCCTCGTCCACCCCACGCCGTGCTCCCGCCGAGAGTATTCGATATTCACGAACCAACAATTTGTGTGCGGCAGCTCAGGTTGACGAGCGTCACTGAGAGACACACGAGGCATCCCACAACTCACAGAGAAGCTAGCGCATCCACACCGTCGAAAAGTCCCGCGGGGAGCGAAGAAAGCTGATTCCCATGCAGACAAGTGATGTTGTATCTCACAGAACACCCACAACGGGCAGTGATGACTGTGCGCGTTAATCCAGATATGGTCACGGCGGAACCACAACATTAGTCACCAGAAAGCACCGTACGAAGCTAGTGCCACACAGGAACAGGACATGAACCGTTCGCGATGACGTACACCGTTAGCGAACACCAAACACGAGCAAAAGTAGCTTCCATTGTGCGGGCAGTGGGCGTGGGTACCATGAACGGGGATTGTGAAGGTCAAACCACTAGCCAAATGCACGCGTTCTCCTCGTCCATTCTCTGGGGTCCTCTCGCCGCTGGAGTTCGATACTCTCGAACTAACGGTTGGGCTCTGTATCTCATGGCTCAAGAAAACAAGGCTTTAGTCTACACAACTCGCATATATTGGAGGGCATCTAGATCGGCGAACATCCCCGCGGGGAGCTCAGCGAGCTGATTGTCCTGCAGCTCGCGATTTGTACCGCACAAGGCGGGCCCAAGACGGAAGGGGCGACAGTGGGCGTTGAGAAACGATATAATAAACGGAAGCAGAAAATAATATGGCACCCTACCAGGCTGGTGCGACACAGTATATTACGAAGTACTTCAACAGTCAGCGATCGCCAAGCACTCGTTCCACATAGTCAAAAAGTCGTTTAGGGTTTTGGCAGCTCCCGTTGCGTGGGGAGTCGACGCGATATTCGTCGTTTCGTGTTCGTGTTGACTCGGACGACCACAACGCCGTGTTCAAGTCGGACGAGAGAACCAGATTTGGTCGTTGGAACGTATCGGAGGCGCGCGAATTTAGAGCGCGCCGGTACGAGATTCAATAGTGCTCAGATGCCGCGAACTAGGCACGAATAAACATTCGAGAGAATCCTACATAGATATAGCCTAGAGTCCGAGCCAGAACATGCTTCACCAACATTCGCAGACGACAAATAAATGCACGTTGATGCAGGCAGTCGTATACCGTAGTCTTTTCCAACAGCCATGCAAGGCGCCCAGGTCGTTGAAAATAGCGGCGGGAAGTGCCTCAAGAGCGTTTCCATTGAGCGACCGATCTTCGAGAGCATGCAGCCCATCGAACAAGGCTGATGGAAGGGTTTTCAAAAGGTTTCTCAATACTCCCCTGAGGTGGCGCTCGCAAGCAGAAATGCGTGGATAGCAAGGATAAGTGCTGTTTATGGTCATACCACTAGCCTGCAGCAAGCTTTTTTCTCCACTCTATGCGGTGCTCTGACCGATATGTTTGGATAGAAATAGGTTGCGTTCTGTAGCTCAGGTGGATGAGTTGCACTGAGAGAAAGACCAGGCTTTACACAACTCACAGATATTGCAACGCATCCAAACAGCCCAAAACACCCGCGGGGAATTAAACGAACTGGTTTTCATTCAACGAGCTAAGTGTTACCGCACAGAGCAGCCGCAAAACGGGGAGTACCGACGGTGCGCACTAGAGGAAATATGCTAATGAACGACAACGTATGTTGTGTTGACACCAAAAAGGGACCCTACATCACTGGTGTGATGCCGGAACAACTAGCACGTGAACCGTCAGCGATCACCAAACACGTGTTCCACGTCAGCGAAAACGGCTTTCGGTACGGTAGCCTCAGATGTTCGGGGAAAATACAACGTGGGAAAGAAGAACGCGTATCTGTCTATCGGACAACGAGTAAACCGCAACCGTTGCCCTCGTCCACTCGACGGGGTGCTCTACCCGACGAATATTTTCTCTCGAAGGTATGAGCTACAACACCAGGACGCGTTCTGAGCTCAGGTGGATGAGTTCCACGAAGGGGAAGGCTTGGCATCACATAGATCTCAGGCTTTGCAGCGCATCCAAACCGTCGAAACCCCTCGCGGGGAGGGAAGTGAGCTGGTTGTCGTTCAAATGTCTGATTTGTACCGCACAGATCAGACAAATGGGGAGTACAATCGGTGCGAGTCCAGAAACAAAAAGACATGAAAAGCGGAAATGGAATGGGTCCACACCAAGCGGCACCCTACCAAGCTGATATGCCAACGGACGAACACGTTAACGGTCAGCGATGACCACATACACGTCCCACATCGGCACAACATTTTCGAGTGCCGGCAGCTTCGGTCGTTCGGCGAGTGAACGTGTGTAAAAACAACGAACTTTCAATGGTCAGGCCGCGAGCCATCTGCAGTCTCCTCGTCCACTCCATGCGGTGCTCTAAACAACGACGTTCCGTACTGTCGGAGAAACAGGACACGCTAAGCAGATCGGGGGGAAAGTGGCACCAAGAGGACGACGAGGCATCATTAAACTCATAGATACTGCAGCGCATCCAGGGTGTCCCAAACTTCCACGGAGACCGAAACGAGTTGGCTGCTATCCAGAGATCTGATTTGTACAGAGAGCGCCGACAATGAGCGTTCAAAAAAATATGGGAATGAGCGGCAACGCCATTTCGTCAACAAGGGGCACCTGTTAAGGAGTGTGGCTGCTACCATGACTAGGGTACATCTTATTATTATTTTTTATTGGTGATAGGATGCGGGTCGGTCAGGAGGTTTACCCTTCTGACCCCTACCCCCTTAGAATTGTCTACTCTGTGTACCCCCTGAGATGAAGTTGGATCCCCACTTCATCCCAGACCTTTGCTGATCGTCTCTCAGCAATAACAAGCAACTTTCCCATCTCAACGTGGTCGTGGACAAGCGTGTCAACGACAGAACCTTCATTTATCTCTAGAAGCAAGCTACCGCTCACGGCATCACTCCTTGAAACTTGGCGTCAGCTGGTATTACACGGTAAGCGAGTGCTGGACGCGGCCTCCACACTGCTGTGTGTTGTTGCTACGCTTTTTTCACAACCACCGGGTTGCTAGCTATTTGATCTCACCACCCACGAGAATCTAGACTCAGCCTCTGCTCTGCTTCCTCTCCTGTAGAGATGCTGGCTTGTGATGCTTTTGCGAAGCGCCCGCGGGACTGGGACCTTGCAAAGGATACGCGCCTCGGAGGCCATCGCGATGTTTTGGGTGATTTTTCGTACGTTCGCCGTCCCTCGAAAGCTATTTTGTCTGCATCGGCGGTCCATGAAGTGATTTCTGTGGCGGATACCCTCTGCATGGAGCGTCCTGAGTTGCTGGCCTTGTGTAGTGGGACCCGAGATGACAGCATGCTTCCCACGTCTGCTACCACCTCTACTGCATTCATGCCGGCGTACCGGCCGATGTCCGCGGATTTTCCTGTTATGCTGTCCGATTTGACTCCGCTTGTATCGACTTGGAACCCGATGTGTGCACACGAATTGGGTGTCAGCCGCCCCACCAGCCTTCCCTCCAATTTTCGAAATCACATGGCACTATTTTTCGGGGAATCGTTCACCCTCAAAAGCATTTGAATCGGAAACCTTTCAACAGCGCAAACCCACAGCTGTATTTGCTCGCACTTCGGTACCAGTTGCGGAGGAACGCCGTGCTGCTCTGCGTGTCTTTTGGTCGGAAAAACTCGTGTCTCCATGCAACACGGGCCCTTTTGTGCTAGCTTCTACTGCTGTTTGTGCGTGGCATGGTGTGCTTTTGGACGCTTTTCCTGCTTGGTTGGATCCGCTTCAACCTCGTGTGCACCAAGCTTTTATCACTGGGCGTATGCTATCTTGTGGATATCTCCGCCTTTCGCATGGACCTCGGCTTGCTCTTCCCGAAGTTGCACCCGGCTTTACTGCTTCTGCTGCTCTTGGTGCTGCGGCCTCAACTGCGGTTGGTTATCCTACATCTACTGTTTCTGGCCCTGCTGCCCTTTCCAAAATCGATCGTAACTACCCTCTCTCTGGCCCTGTTCTTGTTAACAAAGAGGACACCATGTCCAGCGGCAAAGTGGAA